CTCCTCCTCCTCCTCCTCGTCCTCCTCCTCCTCCTCCTCCTCCTCCTCCTCCTCCTCTCTCTTCTTCCCTCTGTGATTCCTCCTCATCTCCTCCCCGCAGCTCGAGCCGTGGAGCTGCGGGAGGAGAGCGGGCCCGTCCGCGGTCGTGCGGAGCCTTCAGCTCGACTCCTGGTGCCTGGGAGTCCTGGGCCGTGGGCATCCTGACGTTTGAGGGGGCAATGCGCACAACTCCTCCTCCTCCTCCTCCTGCGTCTCCTCCTCCTCTTTCTCCTGCTTCTCCTTATCCTCCTCCTCCTCTTCTTCTGTGTTCCGTGAGACCGACGTTGACGGGATGGCCGTTGCGTCCGGCCTCCTTCTCCTCCTCCTGCGCCTCCTGCATCTCCAGGGCTCCTCCTCCTCCCTCCCCTCCAGGAGGACGCCTCCTCCTCCCCGTGCTCCCCTGACGACCAGGGAGCCGCGCGGCGCAACACCCAGTGCGGTGTCCCGTGCCGATCCCTCCCATGCGGCCGTGCTTGTTCGCACGCTCTGCTGGGCACTGCTTCCCCCAGCGCGGCCCGTTGCCTGGCAGCCTGCCATGCCGGCTCCCCCCGCCCAGCCTCCGCCCCGCTGCTGCTGGCCCCCGCCCCTGGCGCCACCCTGCCGCCGCCTGGCCCCGCTCTGAGCGGGCCCGGCTTCCGTCTCCCTCCCGCCACCGCCGGGCGTTCCTCCTCTCTCCCCGTGCATTGCGGGTGAATTCGCATGCGTATGTCTTACAGTGTGGGCGCGCATCAGGAAACCATTTACTTTTCGTCAGGGTATCCTGGGTTTCTTCGCTTCGCGCGTTGCGCGGCGACTTCCCGCGGCCGTTGAAGGAGCTGCTGCGTTCAGGGTGCTCCAGGTTTCCCCTCCGGTGCACTTCGCGCGCGGATTTTCAGGGTTGAGTTTCTTGCGAGGGTTTCTTGTGGCCGCGCCCGCACTGTATTAATGCTTCTCCGCCAGCACAGTCACTCTGCCTAGCCGCCGACGCAAAAGTTTGTTCGCACCCGCACGTCGTACGGATGAAGACGAGCCTGACGGTGCCGCTGTCGAGATCGGAAGCGCATTTTCAGTTGGAGCTGGCCTTAAATCCGAAACTCCACACGTGGTGCCTCTGTATGATGCCGCAGGTCAGGTCACACGTCGTGCGGGGGAATCCGATCGCAAGTTTTTGCCGGGCCCGCTTTGTTGGCGTGGTCTCCAGCGCCTCGACAGGCTCGGGTGAGCATCGGCCACAAGGGCATAGACAGCGCTGCCAATACGTAGGTGGACGCCACGTA